TTTTTTTTTTTTTTTTTTGCCTGAAGGGATACCTTGGTTTTGCAATTTTGAATATTATGTATGTCCAGGTGTGTATATTTGATTTATTATAGGAATATAATATTATTATAGGATATACAGGTTGTGTGCTCTTTATTCATTGATTGCTCCTCCCCCTGCCCCTGTCACATTTGGAGTAGTTTCTGATATTCTGGGAATCTGTCATCCTTTCAGGTAATTTTCATTTTAATTCTGATGTCTGAATGTTTTATTCTGATTGCTGCATCTTTGTTGGCTTTTGAAGAATTTATCTTTCTCAGGTTGCTTAATTTGGTATAAGCTGTCTAAAGATCTAAATTGCTAACCAGAAATTGGATTGCTTTCTAGTGAACTGTTCAGTATAGTTAGGAACTAATAATAAATGCAGATTTTAAAAAAATTCTGATCTAAGTATTTCTCCTTTGTTCTACTCTGTGATTACTTCTGTTTGGAACTCTCACATTAATTTGGGGGCACACAATAAAGGTTTATGTATTTTTATATTTGTGGTAAGGATGCTGATTATCAATTTATTAGTCACACATGTAGATATGCATGTTTTTGTTCACTGCATATTATTTTCTAGAAATTTGCATTAAGAGGTCTTTATATTTTTATTGCATATTCAAAATAAATAGATTTCTATTGCAAGCATAGCACTGTGGTTAGGGCTGTACAAACTATTAACATGCAGTGGTTTTGGGGAGTACGTAATTTAGTTCATAAAGCAACCTTGTGAATGGTTTATATAGTGCTAACTCTGACTTTTTCTTCAATGCTGTTGAGCTGAAGTAATCACAAATTTTATATATATGCCTTTTAAATGTTCAATATGTATAAATATATGCTGACTTTTTTAACATCTAAAATTCTGCTTAGCACTCAATATTTTGCTTATCTCACCTATGGCTGAATACATTATACCTAAAAAGTTTTATAGTATCAAATAATGTGATTTTATCTTCCTACTGAATATTTTCCTCACTTTATTTGTTTTATCTCAGGGGAAGGCCTTTCAGCCTCCCGCCATTCTTTACGAGCAGGTCTCTCTGCCTCAAATATTTCCCTGAGAGGAGAGAATCGTTTGTCCCTTCTTCTCAATTACCTTCTTCCTGGATCTCCAACAACCTCAAGGAGTACAACCCCTTTACCTACCCCACAAAGCACTCCACCTTCCAGTCCTAGGTGTGATCCCAAGGGAACCACAAATTTCCAGCCAACTGAGCATCAGGTGTCTCCTTCTAATGATGATATCCCTAAAGTAGTAATTCATCCACCTGAGGAAGATTTAGAAGCTCAGGAAAGCAAGAAGAGGACAGAGGAAAATAGTGACATAACATCAGGCAACTATTTGAACTCAAATTATCCATGTGTGGTGCTTTCTGCAGCTGAATCACTCCCACTGCAAAATTTTTAATCACACAGCTTTAGCACCCATGAATTGTACATTAGTCTGCTATTTGTTTGCATGCTTCATTATTTTTGTGTGATATTTTCTTGGAGAACTTTATTTGGTATTTTGAAATAGATGAAAGAGTTGATCTTAATATTAACATAAATATTAATGCATTGAAAGCAATTATACATTTGAGCGTTTCTCCATACTTTTTTGTTCCTTAACAAAATGAATTCATTCAGCAAGTGCTTCTGCTTTAAAAAAGAAAAAAAGGGGAGGGGGGAAATTAGTTACACATTTGTAAACTACAAAATGGTGGCCTTTTCCTTACTTTTAAACCTTGTAATTCCCATAGGTAAGGTACACTAGATAACTTGAACATCATGATCTCTGTTGTGAAATCTCTATCTAATTTTTCACACAACTTGGAATTCCTAATTTAAGGTAGTAATAGCACTCTTTTTTGGAATTACATGAAACTCTCTTTGAATATTTTATTTACATAATAAACATTTACAAAATATTTTATACTATCTTATGCAACAATTAAAGGGTTATTTCAGTGGAAAGAGAACCCTGCAAGCCTGTTTGGGTTCTAAAAGCAAATTGTAGGATGAGTGAACACTTGTGCTTTGAAGATGATACGGACAATTCACTACCTGTATGATGCATCTTTCTTGGATTTCCTGGACTTTTCATGCAGAGATTTAGGTACCTGTTAGCACCAAAGTATGGGGATGCATACTCTGGCTAAAATGTGAATATCTAACCATAATCATAGCTGTACAGCAAAAATTGATTCAGTTTCAGGTTATCTTTTAATTCCATATGTTTTCTTCCATAGTTATATAAAATATTTTTATCCTTATCTTTAGCTAAAGTTGCCTTCCAGATTAGCTTACAAAGATGAGGACAGTCCTTGTCATCTTGGTTATAGTTAGGCTATAAAAATCATGTAGGAATAATGAAAGAATATAAATTGCTTAAAATTCCTAAAGAATAGAAGGCAGTTTATATATCTTTTGGGCAGAAGAATAGGATATGCATTTTCATAATAATTACATTGCAATCGTATTTTAACCAGAAATAGATTTCAACAAATCTGCAATAAATTTACCTTTAACTGATATTGAGTTATTTTCTCGATCAGATATTTCATCTTTTTTATTTATTTATTTTATTTATTTATCATATATATATATATCAAAACTATCAATTTTCAGCCAATATGGAAGAAGTGTAGTATTGCAAATAATTCATTAGAGAATAATATAGATTAAAATTCCAGACTTCTGGAATGCAATGAATTATACTTCTACAATTATACAACATGCTGAATGCATGCAAAATGATCTAATGTTAATTCATTATAAATCCAAATTATTTCTGTTCCATTTCATTCTCTCTCCCCAGTACCACCACCACCACCACCACCACCATGCGAACCATGCCCAGAGTTTTGTAATAAGATATGTATGGTTTGACTCAAAAACAAACAAAAAAATCAGTGTAATGGGGCTGTCTTTCTGCTTCTGATATTTACAGTTTTCAGTTTTTAAAAACCTACCTGCCTTTATTGTATAATTAAAAATTATGACCTTGTTTCTCCTGAACATTTTTCTTAAGATCTGTGTTTGTTTTAAAAGCTCCCTAGAGGTGCTTTTTATGGTGTTATAGGGAAAGTTATTTAATTAAAAAATAATGGAGAAAAACAAAAAATGCTAAAATCTGTACCAAGAAAATCTGAATTCTCCATGTGTTTCCGTATGCTGTGCTATTCTGCTGGTTTTAGTGTGATGATTTCATGGATAAGATGCATTTCAGCCCCCAAATTAGTTTCACCCTTTTAAGTTAAATTTCAATATTAAATGTTAGTGTTGAAAGTAAAGATTTTAAAAGCTCTTCTTAAAGCTTGTCTTCATAGAAATGTTTTAAAAACATTGGCTAGAGCCCAAGAACATAGCATTTTCTGTTCAGTATGAAATTCTGCAATTCTGTCAAATCAGACTACATGTTTCTGAGAGCACAGCTGAATATTAAGAGTACTATAAAGTTTAATGGCTTTGGGATTTTAACTTGTTTACATTATGGCAATGTTTAGTGATAGCAAGGCTAAAATTAGATCAAAGCAGTGTAAACAAGCAAAACTTCTGCATAAAGTAATTGAGAAGAATGTCCAAGAAAGTCGATCAACAACCTAAAATTGGATCTATTTTGAGTGGTGTATCTCATATTGCTCATGGTGCTAGATGCTTGAGAAGTATTTCTCCTTGTTGTGTGTCTGCTGAAACTTCAAATAGGGCAGGGCTAGTCTAAATATTCTGTCAGTATGCTTGTGAATCAGGAGAAATGGACAGAATTGTGAATGTTCTACCAACTTGGGGGCATGTAAAAAGTTGATATATACAGTGGAACCTCAGTTTACGAACTTAATTCGTTCCGTGACTGTGGCTGCAACCCGAATTGGTCGCAACCCAAAGCAAATTTCCC